GGCCCCAGCTGCGGGGGAGGGAGGTGGAGTCCCGGGACGACCCCGCCTCCCTCATTTGCATCGCGCCCTGGCCCCGCCCAGTGCCGCCAGCTGCTTTACATATTGGCATCCCCGCGGCTGCCGGCCTTCGGCCTTCCAGCAAAGTGTTCTTAGCCGCAGCGCTGCGGCGTGGGGACAGCAGCCTGTGTTCGTCAGACCCGAGCCTCGCCCCCCAGCCTGTCCTCAGCCCAGGGTTGCATTTAGGAGAGGAGCACCTTGGGTGCCCCAAAGAGTACCGAGAGCGAAAAGACCTAGAAAGGAGAGAGGTTGTGAAGGGAAAGGGTGGGCGCAGTAGATTCCACCCTGGCCTCTGCAGAAAGACTGGTACCCAGCCACCCCCCTCCATCCCATTGGTCATTCCGCACGCGTCTCTAGGAGGGATGGGCTCCCGCTGTCACTCATTTGGAAAGGCCTGTGGCTCCCCACACTTAGACCCATACACACACACGTTCTGCAGAGGTAGGGGAGGAGCAATCTTTTTATATATATATATATATCTAACTCCACCACAAAGAAGGTTCCTGGCTTTGCTTGCGCGAACATTTAGAAGAGAACTCCCTGCCTTCTGTCCAGCCCCTTCACAAAGAACCTGAGTTTTCTCAGCTGTGAAATGGGGCTAATGGAGTTGTGGATTTAATACATCAGTCTTTCCCCAAATCTCACTCGTGTCTGGGTGGTCGTCACAAATTTTGGTCATTTTTAGACGCCATCTGAAAAGCAAATCAGAAAAAGAAGCAGTCTATCTGGTGTATCTATCTGAGTTTGGATAGCAAAAGGCATCTATAGTAGCCAAATCTCTCCAGGTGTTCTCCTACGCCCAAAGCGTTTTGCCACTGAGGCTTTTTTTTTTTTTCTTGCTTGTTAAAAGAGGGCAATAACAAATGTAGGAGAGGTGTTAAAGCTGCATTAATGTCCAACTGAGACTCTGTCCTTCATGGAATCTGAAGGACACACAGGTAGCTAAAAGGGTAACAACTGTCTAGATGTGTCGCTGAGTAATTTAAGCCTGTCTGAGCTCTGAGCCTAAGCACCCCCACTCCCAACATGCCGCACATGGGGGATGCAGCCCTGCCTTAGACTGTGAGCACCTTCACCAGGCTTCGGCTCTGTGACAGCAGGGGCTGCTCTCCATTGTGTCACCCGGTGCCAAGCTCAGTGCCTGGCACCTTGCAGGAGTCCAGGAAATATTGGTGAATGAATGTGTGAGCAGGTGAAGGAGTGCAGATTTAAAGGCCAGGTGTTCAGTAATAAACATCAGGTCCTTGATGGGCTTTCATTAGGTGGATGAACGGCGAGGCTCAGGGTGTTTACTGTATAAAACCACGGTACGATTGGGCTAGCCTCGCTACAAAGCATACTGGTGACAAAGGGCTGAGCCTAAGTCATGGTGGATGAAGGAGAGCTGGAGAGAGCTGAACAACTCAGGTCCCACTAGGACAATCTTGCCTGGAAGCTGCTGAGCAGTAAGTCATTATTAGGCAGCATGTGGAGAGTGATAGCTGTAATAGAATGTCCATCCCCTACTAGTGATGCAAAGGTAAAGAGAAAGAAATAGCTTTTACTTTTAAGGCTGATGTGTTCAGCCAACTGGCAGTGCCTATCTATTATTAGTCCTTTGAGAGGTCCCACGACCTCCCAGGGAGGCTTGGGAAAACATCCCAGGAGACACCTCTGCTGAAGTAGATTTCCTTTGAACCGATGAGCTGGAAGCTCACAGCCCACATCCTGCCTTTTGAACGGAGTGCCCTGGATGACTTTGGTCTGTAACAACAAACAGTGCCTCATGGAACCTGGGCCTGGGGGTGCAAGGGCTGGTGGATCACAAAGAGCCATTCAGTTCCTGGCACGGCTTCCCTATCTGAGGTTCCTATTGGACCCAGATCACTGTAGATCAGGAGTTTCAAACTGATGGCCTTTGGATATCTTTTTTTAGCTCACCCAGTGATTTTTTTGTTTCTGCTCACATGTCGTACAATTTTATCTAGATATCTAGATTCTGACTTCTCTAGGAAAAAGAAAAAGAAGAAAGATACAGCTAAATAGAGCCCACATTCATGCGTTCACTCATTTATTTGTTCACTCATTCAGCAAATGCTTTTGGAGCACCTGCTACGTATCGTTCCTGACACTGTTAAATAAGCCAGACAACCCCCCCACACACATGGAGTGTATAGACTAGTGGGAGTGGGAGGTGAACAATAAGTTAATCAAATAACAAATTTAGACTAAGTGGTATGGAGGTTCATGCTGTAAAAAAAGAAAGAATGTAAATAATGAAGTGACATTGGCCAGGGAAAACCTTTCTGAGAAGGGGACATCTGAGATCTGAGTGAAGTCCTGAAGAATTTGAGGGGTGAGCCATGGGACTACCTAGGGGTAGAACATTCTAGGCACAGAAAAGAGCAAATGCAAAGAGCCCAGGGGAGGAGAGTGCTTGGCATGTTGGAGAAACGGCAAGGAGGCCTGTATGGCTAGAATGGACAGAGAAGAAGGAGCAGATATGGATGAGAGCAGCGAGGCAACCGGGCCCTGTAGGGCCTTGTACATGTGGTATGGAGTCTGGATTTCACTTCAGTGAATGGACACCATTGCAAGGTGGGAAGCAGAGGAATGGTCTTATCTTACTTATTTTTTTAAAGAATTATTTTATTTAACTTTTATTTATTTATTTATTTAAATTTGACCAGAGTAGCAAAGCAAGAGAGAGGGAAAGTGAGAAAGCAAGCTGCCAAGTCCAGGATTTGAACCATGGTCGGCCATGTGGGAGTTCAGCATCCTTAACCACCACATCACCTGCCAACCCCTGTTTTTGTTTTAGGTTGTGGTTTTCTGTTGTTGTTTTCTGTTTTTTTAGAGAAATTTTTGTTATAGGGTATGTATGCTCACCGGAGAGACAGAGAGACAAAAAGCATCACACACATGCCCCAGGAGGGGATGGCCATGCTGCAATCCCTTCTCTTCCATTCTCCTCTTGGGATTTTGGACATGAATCCACACACTCGGCATGAGTTTGAAGCCACCAAGTCCAGGACTCGAATCACTGTTGACTACATAGGAATCCAACGATGTCACCATTACCCCATTTGCTGGTTCCTTGTGTGGTGTTTTAAAGATGACCTGGGTGCTATGTGGGCAAAGGTTGTAGAGGAGAAAAGGCAGAGGCAGAGAGAGCAGTGAAGAGGTCACTGGAGTAGCTAAGGCAAGAGATGAAGACAGCTTGGCAGGTGCCATGTGGTGTTAACTGTTCCCTAGAGATGGAACACAGCCCTCTGGAACAGTGGAGCCCCCACTGAGCTCAGTCTGCTCAAAAAGAATTGAATGCTGGCCCCTTGAAAAATTTCAGAGGCAATGAGAAGGCGGGTCACTGGCTAGGAATAGAGCTGGTGGTTTCTCTAGTCCATATTTAATACGTGCTGTATATATCACTCCCTGTGATGGCCATATAAAATTATCATGAAACTAAGTGACTAAACGTAACAGACATGTGTTCTCTCATAGGCCGAGAGGCCAGAAGCCCTACATGGAGGTGTCAGCAGGGCCGCACTCCCTCTGGAGGTTTCAGAAGAGAAGCCTCGCTTGCCTTTCCCAGCTCCTGGTGTTTGTCAGCATGCCTTAGCCTCCCTGGCTCCACATCACATCAGCCCATCGCCAGACACCCCCCCCACACACATGGAGTGTATAGACTAGTGGGAGTGGGAGGTGAACAATAAGTTAATCAAATAACAAATTTAGACTAAGTGGTATGGAGGTTCATGCTGTAAAAAAAGAAAGAATGTAAATAATGAAGTGACATTGGCCAGGGAAAACCTTTCTGAGAAGGGGACATCTGAGATCTGAGTGAAGTCCTGAAGAATTTGAGGGGTGAGCCATGGGACTACCTAGGGGTAGAACATTCTAGGCACAGAAAAGAGCAAATGCAAAGAGCCCAGGGGAGGAGAGTGCTTGGCATGTTGGAGAAACGGCAAGGAGGCCTGTATGGCTAGAATGGACAGAGAAGAAGGAGCAGATATGGATGAGAGCAGCGAGGCAACCGGGCCCTGTAGGGCCTTGTACATGTGGTATGGAGTCTGGATTTCACTTCAGTGAATGGACACCATTGCAAGGTGGGAAGCAGAGGAATGGTCTTATCTTACTTATTTTTTTAAAGAATTATTTTATTTAACTTTTATTTATTTATTTATTTAAATTTGACCAGAGTAGCAAAGCAAGAGAGAGGGAAAGTGAGAAAGCAAGCTGCCAAGTCCAGGATTTGAACCATGGTCGGCCATGTGGGAGTTCAACATCCTTAACCACCACATCACCTGCCAACCCCTGTTTTTGTTTTAGGTTGTGGTTTTCTGTTGTTGTTTTCTGTTTTTTTAGAGAAATTTTTGTTATAGGGTATGTATGCTCACCGGAGAGACAGAGAGACAAAAAGCATCACACACATGCCCCAGGAGGGGATGGCCATGCTGCAATCCCTTCTCTTCCATTCTCCTCTTGGGATTTTGGACATGAATCCACACACTCGGCATGAGTTTGAAGCCACCAAGTCCAGGACTCGAATCACTGTTGACTACATAGGAATCCAACGATGTCACCATTACCCCATTTGCTGGTTCCTTGTGTGGTGTTTTAAAGATGACCTGGGTGCTATGTGGGCAAAGGTTGTAGAGGAGAAAAGGCAGAGGCAGAGAGAGCAGTGAAGAGGTCACTGGAGTAGCTAAGGCAAGAGATGAAGACAGCTTGGCAGGTGCCATGTGGTGTTAACTGTTCCCTAGAGATGGAACACAGCCCTCTGGAACAGTGGAGCCCCCACTGAGCTCAGTCTGCTCAAAAAGAATTGAATGCTGGCCCCTTGAAAAATTTCAGAGGCAATGAGAAGGCGGGTCACTGGCTAGGAATAGAG